GCTGTGCCCACAGCTAATACAAAAACTACTGTTGATTTCATCTATGATGAAATCATTTGTTGACATGGAAGCCCTAAGTATATACTTACAGACCGTGAAACATATTTTAAAAATGAGTTAATAAAAAGACTAGCCAAAAGGTTTCAAATTAATCATTTACTATCTACGCCATATCACCCTCAAATGAATGGGCTAGTTGAGCGATTCAATCGAACTCTATGTGAATCGTTAACAAAACTCAATGCTAAAGGAGAAGAATGGGATACGTTAATACCTGCAGTTTTGTTTGCTTATAGAACTGCTAAACAAGTAACTACTAAACTTATCCTATTTATGCTAACGTATAGCTGAGAAGCCTATTTGCCTATACTCCAGCAAGAGATCTTTGAAGAGAACGTATTAACGTGACTTTACAATGTTGTGGAGGAGTTACTACCCGTTCAGGAAAAGGCCAAATCCACTATAATTAAAGCCCAGGTTAGACAACGTTTCTATTGGAACAAAAAGTATAAAAAAGTTAAGCGGCTATTCCAAATCAATAACATGGTATTGTTATACGACATGGCTATAAGTAAGAATCTGGCAGGAAAATTCTTACTTAAATAGAAAGGACCATACTTCATATATGCAAGAATTGCACAAGATGTGTATAAGTTACGAATGACTGAGAGACAAATCCTAGACGCCTCTATTAATACGTTGCTATTGAAGCGATATTATACATGGAGTAGTAAAACTATCCAGAATTTATAAAAAGACTATGAAAGAATGAAGAACTACTCATCTTATCAGAATGAAAACCTCTACCAAAGCTATCCTACTAGAGTTTATATCTGTAAATCTACCAAACATTGTAATTGATCCTAAACCTTACCAATATATTGACGACCTAGATAGAAAGATCCAATTGATTTATCAAAGACTCTTACTAACCCGAAATCGACAACGCCAATAAAAGAAGGCTCTAATCTACGTATATTACCTTGAAAAATTAATAGAAGAAGCTGATTCAACAATATAAAAAGCCTTGCATACTCAGGATATAACAAAGTACTATAATCGAGTGTCCACCAGAACTTACCAACTTTTCTGAATCTACGGTATCAAATCGATTGACAGGACCAGCACGCTCAGCATACGAAAAATTGATAAGCTAAGCACCAACAATTTTACTTGTCTTGTTGGAAGACGTTCATAAAAAAAAAATAAAAAAATAAAAAAATAAAAAAATAAATAAATAAATAAATCGACCTGGACCAACAATCTTAGTAGTGTAAGACCCCAGATCAAGAAACATAAGACTCACCAACATAGTTAACATAGAGTGAATTAAACTGATAAAGATCGTCTACTTGTTAAGAATATAAAAGTCATACTACAACCACATGTCTGAATCAAAGATCATTCTGCAGAAGAATTGCCATAACAGTAAAATAGATTTTATTTTAAAAAAAAAAAAAAAAAAAAACCTTAATATATATACGCATCACAGTTGTCACGTGATACCGTCATGAGCGTCCGTCATCAAGAATTACCCTGTCCCTACTACTCTGTGGCAAATTAGAGGTTTTTTAGAACTTGCATCCTATTATAGAAAATT